CGCACACACGCGCACCGCATGGGCACACAGCGCACACACTCGCGCGCGGCCTCGCCGCTCGACTCGCCGCTCTCCGCTCACGGAAATGTGCGTGCCAGCCAGGGCTGCGAGCACGACCATACCGACTACATATTTTATTTTTATCATTCCTTCCACTCATGCTGCCGTTGAAATTTGCAAGTTTATCGGCTCGTAAAAACACAGTATTTTCTGGGGATTGTAGTCTTTTGAGAGTACGGGAACAGGAATAAAAAGAAATCGTGGGTGTGTGTAAAATGGTAATTGTACTGTTCGACATTTGTTTGGTGTTGATATGTAGCATGGTGTCGGGTGGTGTCTGACAACCCTGGTGGGACAGGCGAGACTACCTTCGAGCCGAGCCTGCAATACCGGCCATGCGCATGCCACTATAGCCTCCGACTTTTTTGACAATTTGTTGTCCTCCAGCAGGTTGTTAGTAAAAAATTGCAATGCTTTCGAAGTATAGAAATATTATTATACCTAAGCCGCACTTTAATCATATTCAAAAATAGGGCGACAGTGATACACCGTATGCACCAAATAACGGTGAGCACAATACCAGCTCTGAAACAATACTCTAACATGTGTACAAAGTGAAATGTTTACGATCTCTAATCTCGATTGCACCGAACAGGTCCACAACAAACCGCCCTTCTGAGATGAATGAAATTACCACCGCCGCCGGTCACGTGGTCTATTGTACTGAAAAGGAACGTTAATGGTTTAATCGGTCATTGAATCGGCTCGATACTGCATAGCGTAGCCTCTTCGCACCGTTTCATGAATGGACCAAAAAAAATGAAATAAAAATTCTACTACGATGTTATGACCGTACCGTCGTAAACAATCGTTATTTATACAGGCATCGATGTATTCCACACAAACACGAAACTTGCTAAACACGTGGGCGGGGAAATGTCACATCGACTCTCCACTGAAACTAAACAACGCTAAAATCACTGAAATAATAAATAAATACCAAAAGTTGTTTTTATTTTGTACAATTGTTAAAATTATTTAATTAATTTATATTATGTTTAATGTCTCTTATACGTAATTGGTGACGTTGTTACGAAAACCCACGAAAAAAGGAAGGTAGCTTTGTAATGCCTAAGTAAGTTCATCGGAATATAACATCCAAATTCCGAATTATAACATCTGATGCATAACAGCGGCATCGTATTTTTTCTTGTGGATAGGCAACCCCATAACATGGCACAGCACACCCCATGCTATCTACACTGCGTTATAGTCGGCTATTATAATACGCCAGCAGTGAGGCGGGCTGGCGATGGTGGCGCGCGGCGAGCGTAGGTAGCTGTAGCGATAGATACAAGCGGCCGCTACGCGATGTCATTACAAGCGCGCCTGTGTGCTGCACGTGCACACAGGCGCGCGCCCCCGCCGCCCGCTCGCCGCGCCCCGCCCGCGCCCCTCTGCGCGCCGCTCGACATGACTGTGGCGCTGTGAGGCAATGCCGTTGCTGTGCCGCCGTCTATTTGGTCTCCACAATGCCATAGAAAGTCTCCGTTCGACTCGCCTCGACGACCGAACTTTTCCTACCTCCTCGAGCGAGAGGCGTTATAACAGCGTCGCCGCTCCGACGACTCGTCGACTATGACTTTTCAACGCATACTGTAGAATTCTTTATGGTTGTTATTTTGAATAAGCACTAACTCCTCGCCTTGCGCTATAGCTAGCAGTACGGTTATAAAATGCCGCATATCCGAGACTAGCGATAAAATAAACGTCTGACGTTTCCAAGTTTCGAACGGAGAGAACGAGCGACGCGCTGCGCATCAGAAAAAGAACTTTACGACAAGATTAGAAAGAGCGAGCGGAGCGGCAACAGCGCGCAGCCGCGTTCCAGAGGCACAGAGTGGCAACGCCGAGCGCCAACGTCATTTACTAAATTTATTTTCATGAGCGCCAGCGCTGGCGACGACACTGCTACATACATATAGCGCTCGCGGGCGCCGCGTGATACAACCTCACGCTAGATATTATCTAGCTATTTCTGCATATTGAAAACTTGTCGCGCTCGTTTATAATTTTCCTATAATGGACAGTAGGTGTACAGTTGTACAGGCGTACAGTAATCGCTCTGTACAGTGAGCCGGCACGTTTTCCGCGGAGCGATAAAAGGGTGACGCAAAGTGATTATTTGCAGCGTTGCGATGAGTGGTCGCTGAGTCAACTCGACGGCAGGCAGCGACCGTCGCAAGTCGCAACACCGACAGCGCTCGCAACCTAACCTACTAACCGATCATGCGTTGTTAGCTTTTATTGTGAATTCGTTCAGCATTCTGCACTATAGCTATTCACTTTATAGTAAAAATAATATAGCTGTTATCTTTAATCGTAAACTTGAGTAAAATGATTTACAAAAGTAAAAATAAATTTTTATTGGCGCTTAAACAAGTAATTATAATTTTAATAACATAGATTGATGATTGAAGTTTGTTCGTAAAATATGTGTAGCGGAGTAATTTTCATTTCATTTAACATTTTCTGTGTAATAAATAGGCGGTATAAAGGCTAGAGTATCTAGGCAGGTTCTGCGAAACGCGTGTGCTTCTTAATTGTAGCGGCAGGTGTGGAGGCATCTGCCGCCTGCTGGACTCGCACACTTAATATTTTTATTTTTTCTACAACGTGTGTATCGCTGCACACGGTGTCCACTGACTCGATGCATTGAACAATTTCGCGATGGCCACTAACGAAAGTAGCCATGTATGCCTCAACGGGAAGGTAATTCGTTGAATATACGATGTTGCGGTAAAAGTCAACGCGCTTGCCTGCACGTCCGTCAGTTAGTACCGCGCCACTGCAGCTGCTAACAATGATAGCTTGTTATTCAAGTTCAATATAAGATAAGGCCACAATAAAATGTACACTAACTTCAGGTAATACTTCTGCCTGGCAGTCTTATAGTCCTGAGAACTTGAAATGCTTAAATGTATTTCTGTTCTTCTGTTTGGACAAAGAATGCGCTCCGACAGAAGGGTCCGATGATCCCGGCCGGCGCGGCGGGTGCGTGGAGCCCTTACCTGAGCCGCACTAGGGGCTGCTCCCCGGCACATTGTCGGTAAAAAAACTGAGTAGGGTCGGAGCACAAAAGAGCTCAGACCACCCTACCAGGTACCTTTGTACGCCGTCTGTTACTCTAGCGAGCGTACTGTGTTGGCTACATTCCATGCGTTTCATATTTGAGAACAATCAGTTTATAGATATGTTACTTCAATATAGTTTGTTCAAAAATATTAAGGTATTTAATAGAATTTAATGTAATCAATTAAAGGTATAATTTTAATCTTAAATCATTTTAAGCCTATTCCAGTCCTAGCCAGTGTTGGGCAAAATTTAGTTAACTAATGATTGATGACTAATGATTGAATGTGTTAGTTATGATTGATGACTAATGATTATTTAGTTTAATCACGAGGTGATGACTAACGATTGATTAGTTTTAATCTTAATCAAATAATCATGATTATTTATTTATGATTGATATTTTAATACGAGGTAAGGTAAAATATTTTTTCTGCTTCTTAAAAAAATACTGAATTGGACACAAAACGTTACTGTAGGTTAGGTTAGACTTTAGTGTTTTAGTTTAAAATTCAGTATTGTTTGGTGGTCAGATAAATAGATGCCCTGGTAAAATCTTATGATACGGAGAAATGGTTTTCAGTATAACGGGGTTTTTTGTAACACCTTCTATAACTTTAGTAGTTTTTAGGGTCCCGTACCTCATCTGACTGTAATCATGTAATTTATTACTTGTTTTTCGAAAAGTAAATGATGTCATCGTATTGCTTTAACGATTATAAGACTAACTAAATTACACTTGTATTATTTTATTTATTTATTAATCATCTCAGTGTAACTGTATTGAACTTTATAAACACAAATAATATATTTAAGAAAGCTATATAATATAGGGTGTAAAGGATGGCTTACCAAAGTAAAACCATGGACTCAGATCATCATCCTAAGTAACGGACCGAAGGAATTTTTTCTCGGAAAAGAAAAAATTTTGGCCTTTATATACATTATATTCTATTAGCAGCCGACTTTAATATTTTGTATGCAGAGTCAAAAATTTTTTTAATTTCCGTACCTAATTCCTTCAGTACTTTACTCAAGATAATGGTCTGAGACTTCGGTCAGCTGATCCTTATACCCTGTATGTGTAGTGTACCAACACCTGTGCATCGAGCTTAGTCATACATTCATGATTAAAACTAATGATTGATGATTTGCGATTAACGAATTTAGTCATGACTAATGATTGTTCTCGTTAGTTATGATTAAATTAGTCATGACTAAATTAATCATGATTAGATCAATCATGATTGATCAATTGATTGAATAAATTAGTTGATTTGCCCAACACTGGTCCTAGCCAACCTAGTCCAATAATTACAATATTTTACGACACTCTTATATCGTACACTAATAAGCCTGTATGTGCCTGTGGGTACAGATTTATAATAAATCAGTATAATAACGCTTTCCATTAGTTTTCCGTGGAGCGCATAAAGCGTCTCAGCTTACGGTACTTGTGGTAGTTAGAGAGCGGCGCCGCGCAGCTCCGCCTGCCCGTGCAGCGCCCACGCACCATTGTGCTGCCTCACATCCGCGTCTACACGCCTACCTCGCCACGTACACCCATACACCGGGCCATGCATTACTTTCAGACATCACTTCCACTTCTATTCTTCAGTTTTAGTTGTCATCAACATAAGAACTATAGACTGATGATGTCGTTTCACAAACTTTTAAAATAATAGACGAAATATAAAACGTCACTGTCATTGCGAACGTTTCGAATACTGGTGATGGTACCTATTTATAAATAACATTAATAATTGAATTTTATTATTATTCTAACATAAAAAATGATTAGCAATAGTTGTACACGTAAGTTCAGTTGGAATGTATGTGAATAACCGAATTGTTTTCTGTATTTGCAGGGCTCGGGCGGCGGGTGCGGCGCCAAGCGGCGCGCCGGCTCCCCGTGTGAGGGCGGCGGCAAAGTCGCGCGCTGGGAAGACTCGATCGCGCGGCTAGAGGCCGTGGCCGCCGGCGCGGGCGGCGGAGACTGCTGGCGCTCCGAGGAGGAGGAGCGGCGCGCGTGCCGCCGGCGCTGGTGTGGCGGCTGGTGCGGTGCGCACGATACCATTCGGGCCGAGAACGGCAAGTCCTACCTGGAGCTGGGCGGTGCTGCTGCGCGCGCCTGCTGCGACGGCCGCGCGGCTGGTCGCTGTGCCTCTCGTCGCTGCTACCGCGAGAGGCGGTTCAAAATGATGAATCTGTGTGCGCTGAAACTGGCGCGCTTACGCCAGACGGCGGATCCGTCGCTGAGGCGCTCTGTGCTCGTCTGCAATACGTTACGTGGCATCGAGCGCGAGATGGAGCGCGAGAGTGCCGAGGAGGCGCCCTTCGAGCCGGCGTGCGTAGCTGGTGGAGTAGCACGCTGCGAGCTGTTGAGCTCTCGCGACCCGGCGGCTGGTCGTGCCACCCCCTTCCCTGCGCCGCCACCGCCGGACCGAGACTCCGGCTACGGCGACGAAGAGCAACGGACCATCGACTGGGGCTCCGTACTGAGCCTGTCATCGAGGTCGGCGCTCGACCCCCCCGAAGACGCGTGGCCCGACGACTGGGGCTGGAGCGAGGACAGCTTCGTGCGGCTGCTAGTGCCGACGAGTTAGTGCACGGCGCGCGGGCAGGACTCGCCCGCGCCCCACTGAGCGCCTGTGATAGCGCGGGCCGCGCCGCGCGGTGAGGCGGGCCTCCTGATCCTCTCGCGCGTGCGGCCGCGCGGAACTCTAGTCGGACGCGCCGCGCCGCCCGGCGACTCGCGCGCCGACGCGACGCGACGCATACACGCAGTCAGTAGTTAGTATTATGTAATTGCAAAAGGGAAGGTGCTAGCTTCGGACGTGACGCAGGACTTAATGCGAGCCGAGTTATTTTTGATAGTTTTATTTTCTTTAAGTGAATTCCAAACCGAATGAAGAAGTGACTTAGCTAATGACGTTATTATCGTTTAAATTAAAACTCAGGTGTTTGAAATTTTGTTGAAATTATTATGTAATTAATTAGGTAAATAACTATATTTATTTCGTTGACCAGAAGAAGAAGAAAAGTGACAATTTGAAATTATTTCTGTCTTGATATTTTCATTGCAAGATGTATCGGAACAACGAGTTTGACTTTATTTTCATGGGTTATGTTGACTCGCAGACATGTTCGCGGTGTGGTGTGCTCCGAGTGGTAGCTGACTCGAGACTGTCCTGACTTCAGATTAGTTACTAGCGAGTCGTTGAGCTGGGAGCGCACTGTACCGCGGAGATGTCGACGGTGGTCGTATAAATAGTAATGTGTGGACATGTGCCGTTCGACAAACGCGTCACTGCTGTGTTGTGCTAGTGCAGTGCGATGGTAATGCGAACAATCACGAACAAACTGTAATAGCTAGTACCTTAGTACTTAACGTAACTGATGAACTTTCATTAGTTCCACATCCACCACAGAGTCGCAGTGTCACTCGTAACTGGATGTCAATTAATAAGCCTTACCAGCTGTGACTATGAAAGTTTCATGATTACAGGAATCGTGCATTTGAATAATTGGAATTTGTAATACATGACTGAGCCGTGGCTGTAGGTACTTAACTCATATTTCGGAATTGAGATTTCTGTCCATTGGTTCGGATGCCTTCTAACGATCTATCTCTATCTAGCTGTTAAGAAGTTTCATTTAGACTTAAACGAAATAAATAAAACGTGTCATCGAATAGTTTATTTACTTACTCTGTGTACTAACAGTGAACTGCAGTTCCTAATACGTAATTAAATCTAATTAGAACAATCTTTAATTTATTCGAAACATTTACCTTCTAGTTTTGTACTAAAGTTTTATTGTTAGAAGGCACCCGAACATCAGATTAGGTTTTCGATAGCCAACAAATTAGTTCGTTGAAGGACTCTGTAAATGCATTGAGATTTGAAAAGTGTAACAAGCAAATAATCATTTGAATAAATTGTGTGTAAATAGTGTAATAGTTGAACAACCCGTCGTTTCTAAACAGAGACTGATAACGAACAATGTCTTCGAAACCGTACTGTCTGGACGAAATACTTGATGTGACTGTTCTCTCATTAGTAACATCGGGTTGTGTAACGCTGTGCCCGCGGCGCGGCTGGCGGCCGGCGGGCGGTCGGCGGTCGGACCTCTGTGTTCATACACTCTACCTACCTCTGCTACTCACACTGTCTTCTGATCATCATTTCGTACTTAAGCAATTGTTCACTCAGTATCCCAATACTTTACCGACCGCCCCCCTCCTACCAGCGCTAGTGGCCGCGAACTACGGACTTGTGACTGCATGGACCAAACATACCTAGCACGACTAAATAGAGCAAAGTACAAATTTCAATAATAAGATGCATTAGTGCTCCGGCGCATGTTTGTCCACCGTTGTCAATTACTCAAATATTTGAATTGTGATTCGGTAGCTAATGAGAGAAAACTCTATGTTCTTAAATTTAGTGTACATATTATATACGGAGATGGGCATTATGGCGTGGTGATCGCGCCCGTTGTAAATATATTATGTAAAGTAATAATTTTATTGATGTCGAATGTCGGGTAGCTTGTCATCGCTCGGCCCCGGTAACCCATGCCGCCGCCCTGTTGTATATTACGACCTCTATTCTGTCCAATACACTCAACAAGTACAGATATACAAGTTACATAATTATGCATTATTAATATAATAAGATGTCACAAAATTTTATCGCCAGTACAGACCAATATACATGAACAACGTTTAGTTATAATATTTTGGGTTCTAAACTCATAAGTGATGCACTGAGTAACTGAATGATCAGCTCAATCTATTTTATTTTATGGGTTATTTCATGTTAGATATTTTGTTGAAGATGTCCGTATGGTTGGTTGTGATGGTTTACTTAAGTAAGTTAGCGACTCCGGCAAATTGCCATGTTTCACTTGTACCTACCTATTACATTTTACTCTATATTTGTACTAACATTTTTGAGACCGTCTTGTATTCCTGACGCACTTGTGTATGACTTAATTTTTGAAAGTACTTAAACCTAAATAGTCGAAGCTTTCAGTAATCCCTCTTAAATATTTCAATTAGTGTAATGTATACAATAAATAATTTGTTAATGCTCGAGCGTCAGGAATACGAAACGAGAAATGCTTGCAATATAATGTAGGTACAGAAACTTCTTATCCTGTCATTTTCATAAAATAGCCGACTGATTCTTTCAAGTCGGATTGTCAGTGAATGAATTTTATGATTGTATGTACGTCTTGATTGTAAAATTTTGTACAAAAATAAGTGGAGGACCCCTACGTTTAAATTGTATTTAATACTCCTTAACTGTTATCGTTTGTGTCGTGGGCACGATCCGCTCGCTGCGCGTCGCGCGGCGGCGCGGGTAGCTCGTACGTGCGACAGGCGGTCGCGCGAGCACGCTGCGCACAGTGTTGTGACCTCCAGCAATAATTATGATGGCAGGTAGACTCCTTGTCGCATCCGTCTTTACTCTGTTGCAAACGTTTCAAAGAAACATTCGCAACGTTTTCATACGTAACTTTACGACTACATTGTATAAGTGTATTTCCTTAGTGTTTTTCATTGCCATTGGTTACCAAAAATGACAGGATTTTTATTGAAACTATTGTGAATATATTTTAGAATGAATACTCTCGTTAGAAAATTGAGAAAAGCATTTTGAAGGGGCTCATATTGCACATCGAATTGTTAAATCGTTCCTCATGTTGGGAGTTCTCAAAGTCGTTTCTCGATTTGTCTAATGTAAGATATATAATTGTAATATATTATTGTTTAAGCCGTTGTATCGAAAATAACAAGAACAGGAATAATTTTGTGAAACAATGGCACAAAGAATGAACATAAATATTATATATATTATAGAAACAGAAATGTGGCTATAAAAGCAATTTTTATAATAAATATTTACTGTTGAAGAATCTCAGACTTTTATTCCTATTTTCCTTTGTGACGACGCTGTGAAATAAGCAATCGCAGGCGCTGGTATTTAACACAATATGATAAACGAAAAATTACATACATACCTATTACCCATTCACTTACATATATATCTACAAGTTCTGTGTCAAAATATAAAAGAAACTACTCTGTAAAATCTGTAAGATCTAGACTCGCCATAGTGAAGGTTCTCGGTTACATGTTATCGAGAACTTACTTTCAGGTGTAATTTTCAGTAACAACTAGGAAAGAATCGATTATCAACACTAGCTAATGGTTTGAAACGAGAAGGTATAATAGCTTATGTTAAAATGAAATACCTCTACATACGTATATGTAAGTACTGGCTTCTGTCAGCTGCTTATACCGATTCCTTCAGCTGTTATGACTTGAAGGAGTAAGAAACTCACAAACTTTCCCATTTATAACATTGGTAGGATTACAGGTAGCCAACAAGGTTAGATGTATAGTAAATATTTTGATATTGACTACATTAGAAAGGCTAGATAAAGCAGTTATTGGATGCAGGGTTGCAGAGGGGCGGTGAAGCGGTTTGGATTCCTGCGTGCAACACTCAGAAGAAGAAAAATTGTCTGTTCTAAGGCACGTAAGTTTATTATGTAGGTATATAAATAATTACAAAATGAAGTGGAAGTAGAAAATAATAATTTGAAACAATTTAATTTTAAAAGTTTGAAACACATTACAACCAAAATAATTATAAATCGCGGGTAACTGACGTGAAAATTTGAGGAAGAACTCCTCTGTGGTAGTTGGTAGACCTCAGTATTTTCACGTGAGTAACCCGTGATTTTAGTCAATTTAGTATGTCTCACGATAGTTATTATACAAACATATAACAACCGTCAAGTTCATTACCTTGAGTGATTATAATACCTTCCCGCGGCTGTTGTTCTGCAGGAAAAGGCGTATATTATGCTGCTCCTACATCTGTGAATGAGAAGAATGTGGTCGAGGCGAATATTCCACCAAGTTTTTAGATTCTTCTTGGGCCACCAATGAGAATATGTTTGTTTTAATATTGTGTTGAGACAGTGGCGGCAATCTTTTTGTAGTCTCGTACATACTAATAAAAAAATGAAAAAGTGCATCATTTTTAACATTGCTAATAATTACATCATTATTGGTATTAGCAATTAAGCGCTCCCGTTCTTGCCGTCTTTTAACTGCTCTACGTTCATGGTTTTCAATCGATTTAATTAGTAGGTTATTTAAAGTGTTCTCTGTGCGTCGTCTTTTGTATCCTTGAACAGCTGCTGTATCAGTATATTGTGATTCAGGGATTTCATTGCTTTCTTCATCTTCTGATTCAACCATATCCGTATCACTAGCATTGTTTTGAAAATTGTTTTCTACAGTATTTGAATTACTATCGTCGTTGAATATGTATTCATGGACTTTGGTGTTACTTGTCCTCCTTGCCATATGGGGGATTAAAAACGCCATAGCTTCTTGATAGCGCCATGAGTTTACAGCCCCTGTTTCATTTTTCGATTTCGATTTTTTCTGCCGACGAAGCGCATCTCGGTGATTGTTTCTCAGCTTTTCCCAAGATTTCTTGGCTTCGCTTCCTGCAATACAATTACTTATCATTAATAATCAGGATCATGGCTATATAATAAATGTATTTTATTTTCCCGTGTGCGGTAACTCGTATTCCGATACTATATTATATATTGGTTATAGTTACAGAGGGAATAAACGGTTGTGGTATGAGTTTGTTTTATGTTTGCCGTACAACAACCCGCCGTACAATGCGACTGCCTCGTTGGCGAAGTGGTCGCCAGTGCCACTGCCGGACAAGAAGTTATTACTAGGATTTTAAAAATTCTCAGTAGTAACACGGAGTCTGAAATTGTACCCGATATATGGCAATAGGATCACCCCCTATTACATGGGACTTATAACATAAATAGTGAAAAGTGGGTGTTACATTGTACAAGTGCTGTAATGTGCACCTATATCTGTTATGTTGTTAAGTTTGTTTACGTTTAAACTAATCGAAACCAGTACGCGTTCGGCGCTCAGAGTATCAAGCACGAATAACTATCACAATCGTAACGTAATAATATCGAGCGCGTTCGGCGCTCTGATTGGCCGGCTCCAGTGAACCAACCAATCCAACGCCGAACGTGGTCTCGTTTCGATTACTTTAAACGTAAAACAGACTATCTCAAATATTATTTACCAAGGTATCTTCAGCTATAAGGAGGACCATGCAATCTAATACAACAATGGAACTTATAACTATTTAGTAGGTAAATGTTTATAGGTATGAGTATTTAAATATATATGTAAATAAATAAATGTTAGAACTTCATATCTACCTAGCCAACAGTTTTAGCTATTTTACTTTTTGTTAAGTACCTTTCTAGGCTATATTTGATTCCATGAACAAAAAACATCGATAATTTCACATTCATATCATCAGTAAGATGTCAAGTAACTTACCATTCTTGAGATTTAACTCTTTTGCGATTCGTGTCCATATAGATTCCTTTAATCTTATATTCACATAATCTTGGTGTTTTACGTCGTATAAACATTGATATTTGCGAACAGCTTCAATAAGTTCGTTCATTTTGCAAAAACTCGCGAGTCGCGACACTGCCACTCGAAAACCACGTGTCGCTCACTGGCACTAGTGACTCGCGCGTGCACGCTCGTGTATGTACGTGGCTGCGTCGTCGCGTGAGAGCGGAGACTGCGCTATCGCCCTCGTTCACTCGTTCACGACACTGCGCCAATGTCGCTTTGACATTGGTGGGCTCGTTCGCGGCCATCTTGTTTGATTTTCGGCTACGTATGATAGAAATACTGAATGATGTATGATGATGATTCGTGAAAGCAATTACAGACATACAAGAAGGCGAAAAACCAAGGTCCGCTCCCAATGCAATATGATTAAATACATCTGATGAAAATTGCTCCTCAATAAGGTTGACTAATCTACCCAGTTAGAGGAACCAAAACTGTCTCGATGGCCTAGGACTACCTCG